AACCTCCGCGGACTGACCGAAATTCCTCATCAATCGGTTTTTTCCTCCTTGGCCGAAATCCCTTCAACCAGTTCCCCGGACTGAACCCAATGCTTGCCGTCTGTTTCTTTTCCCAGGTATGTTCAGATTTTTTCACTTTCTGAATTAGAGACGAAATTGCATAGGGGATAAGGAGTTCACTATGCTTGTTGGATTTGATTACACAGAGGGTGATGATGCTTGACGGAATTGAAGGCGCGTGTACGGCGCGCCTGCGGCACTTGCTTAGGGATGACCAACGCGCCGGAAACAATGGTTAAGATGTACATTCCGGCTGTGATGGACGGTGTCCCGGCGATACTTTATCATCAATCGAGTCTAAAAAATGGCGGCGAGGTTCGATTTCCACTATAGTTTCTGTTCTAAATTTCTCGCACTTTCGTGTCTGATTTTGAGACATGACTTTGGTGTCCCGGCGATACGTTATTTTATCGCATAATTTTGAGACTTGAATTTTTTAGATTGCAAAATTCAAGCTTATAAAATATTTTTATTTTTATCCTGGTTAAGATTCTGTGGTATTGTAAATGGTTTTTTGATTGTGTTGTTTTTGCTTGTTAGTTAAGCATGAGTGTGGCTCAAATGAAAAGCTCAGTTCCCCGGCATGAACCCAATCTCATTCCAAATCGGGCCTCGATTCCACTCAACAATAGTGTTGCCGCTGCAATAGGCGTGTTGCTGTTGAATCCCTACGGGATTTCTTCGACATCATCTGCTTCGCTGCTCCGGCGAGGACGACAATTTTAGTTCCTCCGCCGCTGATTCTCTGCGTCGTCGCTCAATATTCATCAAGAAGAATCCGATTGTGAAGGTGAGAACAAATTGCTTCATAGTATTGTTCTTTTGAATTCGTGTTTTTTTTTCTCTTTGGCTGCTTCATTTATTTTGTTTCTCTCATCAGATTCTTGTGTTTTAAACACCTGATGACTGTGTTTTGGAGAGCAATTGGGTGTTTTGATAATTGTTGTGGTGGAAGATTTGGTTTCACATTTTTCATATGAAGATTTAGTCACAGAATAGACACCAAGATGTTGTGGTAGTGGTTGTGATAGAAGTAGAACTACTGAGAGTTTGGATGTGGGTTTCTTTAATGTTCATTTTTTTTTTCTTTTGGTCTCAAGATTCGAAGTTCATCAGAGTAAACATGGACGGCAACCTTCTACCGACAGACATGGCAGTGATAAAGTTTGCCTGTACGCGGTCGATCCGGCGGTAATCAAGGAGAATGTCGGAACAAACATTGAGATTTTGGTTTTGCTTAAAAACAAAGGGGTATGATTTCTTTTTTTTTTTTGTACTTTTCCAAAATTAGTTTTTGATGTAGGATTTTTGCTTTTAATAATGGGGAGAGCAACTGTAGGGTTGTAAAAGTCACGAACGTTGCGGCCTGAGAAGCGCCAACCAAATTGTGTGTTGGAGTCATTGGGTCTTGCTTTTCTACCCACATCTCAGTCAATCGAGTTATAGTGCTCTTGGACTTTACATATCAGCAATTTCGGTTTCCAATAGAGCTTCGGCGCCATTATGGATACCACGAGTATTGTATAAGGTATGAAAGAAACCATTTACTATGTCGATCTGACTTTGTTTGGATTGTTGAGGAAATTCTTAAAAAAAGTTAATGAGCTTTTTTTTTTACTACAATCACTTTGATTTTTTCCACTAGAATCACTTTGATTTTATTGTTTGTCTACACTCTTCGAGTGGTGTTGGAAATACTTTTTGGGGTAATCCAAATGCAACACAATGGATTAATCTTAAGATTAATGTTGTTCATTGGGTGTTACGTATGTTCTATTGTTTGTTACTATCTTTAATTAATTCTTTGACTGTTCTATCGAGTACTTTGAGGAACATGGTGGAAAATTATAGAATATGAGGTGCGAGATTGACGGATCCGTGCAATAGGTAGTGTTCTTGGTCAAAGTATTGCTCTAGACTACTATGTTCGTCAGTATGTTTTGTATCAAGTATCAACTTGCACGTGACTTTTTTTTTTTGTACAAAAATACCTTCGCTGCGAAATGAGTTTACGTTGTCCTGGTCTTCCAGTTGATGGAATGGTTGGGGAAGATGGAGAAAACTGAAAACTTCACAATGGAGAGGAAAAAGCTCTTTCAACTGGTTCGAATGGCAAATTCCAATAAAAAAATTTGTGTTGGTCCTTTGTATGTTCCCGATGTCCTTTGTTATGGAGCAACATCTTTATTTTTAATTTTTTCTAGAATTTTAGGGCATGTCTTATGTTTGCACAATCTATGATTCTAGATATTAGTCCCGGGAGACCGTGTATTTGGTCACAGTCCAGGGTATTGCTTCATATCAATCAAGTTAAAAGGCAACAGATAATGTATTTCCATTTTCGGCCTAATGATCTGATGTTGAATATATATTATATGCCTATTACAATCATGTTGAGAACATGAGTTTAGATACAAAATACCTACTGCAGCTTGTTTTTTTTATAGTTTTATACTTTCATTTATTTCATACATGTATTTAAAACCAAGTAATAGCTTATAGGCCGAACTACATCAGATTTCTGTAATCCCACACAATTAGTTTGTATGTATCAAGTTTGCATTGATGAAAGAATAATAATCAAAAAATTACTTGATCTTTTAGAGCATACGTAATCTTCAAATTTTTTTAGACTAAATTTGAGTCCGCCGTGCGTGCACGGCGTGAGACAACCAGTCCTCAAATAAAATCCATTCACATACTCATGCGAGGGGCTAAAAACACTTGGCCAGATCCAAGTTTGAATATCACTACGAATGAGTGGTAGAAAATGTGAGTTTNAATAATACAGCTTATAAAAAGTTATAGTAATGTAAATTACAGATACATCTATTCATACGACTAACCAAAACAAGGTTATGCATCACTGAGTGATAAACAAATGTGCTGTCCAAAACAATGCACCATGAAACCTTAGTGACCCATGGCTATAGTATCGTATTAATCCTAAGACGAACAAAGAACAGTGCAAACATTAAATTTGAATAAAATATCAACTGTTAACAGAAAATGAATGTCACATGATTATCGGTAAAAGTTGCTTATCGAGTTTCACAATGATTCCCTTTTTGTCTTTCCTTTTAATATATATATATTTTTGGTTCTTCGCGAGAAGTCATCTGCGTACACCACCACGTGGCCGCTTGAAAAAGTTCCGATTGGGGGCAGGCGGCCCATGCATGGCCGACCCGTACGTGTGCATATTATTAGCATTAGAAACCAAAGATTGAGCGGGAGGTTGATACGATTTATTTCGACTGTTCAGCAATGACTTGAGATAATTTTGAGAGGGCTGATTAGCGGTAATCTTGGCCCAACCCACTAATATCTGTGGCACTAACCATGGAAGCAAGAGAGTCCACGGGCTCGTTCGGCAATGAGATCCCAGACATCCCGTCGTATGATAAAATGCACGCTATGGCATACAAGGAGGCCCCAAGATGTTCCGGGAGAACCTTCTTTGGATGCTTCACCTGAACCGGAGAAAAAACCGGTAATAGTCAGTAAATTACATATACCTCCCCGAGGTTTTCACACACGCACACAATGAGGTTTTGTAAAACTACAACTCCTAGAGAATCTTCTCGAACTTTTTCCTCTATTAGCCGAAAAAACAAAAGAACAAAAAATCCTGAAGATCATTTTATAACTAGATAAACCAGAAATTACAATAACTACCGCATTATGTTCGGAACTACCCCCAACCGAGGCGCACCCTTCCATTCCTCTTATTATATACTTATTTGTATTTACCATTTATCACCAACAATTGGTTGGGATACAGAACCACAAGAAGGTATTTCTAATTTCAGAAGATAACGAGGCCTTTTAGCAATCAAACCGAACCTGAAACATTTCGTAACTATCCTTATTCCCTAAGTTGTTCAATGAAGCACAAACAATGCATCTTATACATTGCTTGCAACCTATGTGGAGCAACAAAATGAACGAAACTAGCAAAAAACAGAGATACAGATACTAATTCAAAACGAATAGAAAGCTTACATTAAAGAAAACTGCAGCCGAAAGTCTCTCCCTGAGGCAGTAAATCTGGGCCACATCGAGCGCCGTTGACCCCAAAGGCAGCCACCCGTCGACTAACACCTTCACACTATTCCCTGATAACGACATAATCCTCTCTCCCTTCTCGACACCTTTAATGCTCTTGTATTTTGTAAACGTGTTTTGGTCTATTTCTACCATAATACGAAAGTCATCCCAAAAAGTGTAACTATCATATCAGCTTTCTCTACCCCACTAATATTAAGCTCTACAAATGTAGGCAGCCCAAGTTGGAGCATCGCATTCATGATGAATATTAACTTCCTCAAGATCTCAAGCAGAGGAAGTCGAGATCTCATCGAAAATGAGGATCGTTCAACTCTTGAATATCCTGTCAAAATGAGGTATCCTTCAACTCTTAAAAGCCTTGAGGATGAGATATTGAAGTTAATTTACAGTCTTTTCTATCAATAAATTGAAGTTATTATATTATAGTATATGTTTAGAATTAATTTAATTTATGTCTTTTTTGACAGGATATTCATTGGAGGCCGTACATGACGTGGAAATTACCCGGTGACCTCTAGTCCAATATCGATTGGATTAGACGGGTCAGTCCCATTTTTGCCAACAACTATGTGGTGCATCATGCACCACATTTGCTTGCAAAACAATTTGGTTTGACAAACAACGTCAAATATACACTGTATCACATCGGAATGAAGGATAATGAGGGATCAAAATCCCACAATTGGACTAAAAAATATGAAGTTCATATCGCGAAGTGGATGAACCCATTATTTTTGGGAGATCCACCAGCAGTCCACAGAGGTAAAAGCACGATTATAGTCTTTGAGCCCTCATTTATTTATTTTTTTATAAAATAGTCCATATTATTATTTTAATTGAACTCAGAGACAACCCCCAGAGAAGCTACAGATACGCCTCCCTCTTCTAACGGCCAGGTGAAGTTCTGTTGATTCTCTTTCTGGGCAGAGCTGCAAGGGGGATGGGGTATATTGGAAGGAAAGTTCTTCCCCTGAATCAAAATAAAAGTAAGGCAGGGCATCAATGTTCTACAAGTCAGAAAGTTGTCAGAATTTTTTATAAAATAATTTAAGTATTTTTGTGAACAATTGTAGAAAAATGATCTGATTCACTACCTGAAGCTTCTTGAGATGGAACTACTGGGGGCTGCAAGGAGGATGAGGGGAGATCGGGCTGCAAGGGGGTACGGAGACCTTCTAGCAAAAAGAATACTTGTTAGAATTTTTTATAAAATAATTCAAGTATGACAATCGAGGCGGCAATCCACACAATTATGCCGAGAAATACAAGACTGAGATAGAAAAGTGGACAAGTATTCTTTTTGCTAGAAGGTCTCCGTACGCCCTTGCAGCCCGATCTCCCCTCATCCTCCTTGCAACCCCCAGTAGTTCCATCTCAAGAAGCTTCAGGTAGTGAATCAGATCCTTTTTCTACAATTGTTCACAAAAATACTTGAATTATTTTATAAAAAATTCTGACAACTTTCTGACTTGTAGAACATTGATGCCCTGCCCTATTTTTGTTTTGATTAAGGGGAAGAACTTTCCTTCCAATATACCCCATCCCCCTTGCAACCCTGCCAGAACTTCACCTTGCCGTTAGAAGAGGGAGGCGTATCTGTAGCTTCTCTGGGGGTGGTCTCTGAGTTCAATTAAAATAATAATATGGACTACTTTGTAAAAAAATAAATAAATGAGAGCTCAAAGACTATAATCGTGTTTTTACCTCTGTGGACTGCTGGTGGATCTCCCAAAAATAATGGGTTCATCCACTTCGCGATATGAACTTCATATTTTTTGGTCCAATTGTGGGATTTTGATACCTGATTATCCTTCATTTCGATGTGATACAGTGTATATTTGACGTTGTTTGTCAAACCAAATTGTTTTGCAAGCAAATGTGGTGCATGATGCACCACATAGTTGTTGGCAAAAATGGGACTGACCCGTCTAACCCAATCGATATTGGACTGGATGTCACCGGGTAATTCCCACGTCATGTACGCCTCTAATGAATATCCTGTCAAAAAAAACATAAATTAAATTAATTCTAAACATATACTATAATATAATAACTTCAATTTATTGATAGAAAAGACTGTAAATTAACTTCAATACCTCATCCTCAAGGCTTTTTTGACAGGATATTCAAGAGTTGAACGATCCTCAGAGCTTAATATTAGTGGGGCAGAGAAAGCTGATATGATAGTTACACTTTGTGGGATGACTTTTGTATTATGGTAGAAATAGAACAAAACACGTTTACAAAATACAAGAGCATTGAAATTCACAAGGAAGGAATTCATAAATTTCCTGTTGAATCATATATACAGGTTAAAGGGTGGGCCAACTAATGGAAAATGGTATGAATGGTAGTTTAAGACAGTATCACTTAAACTAGCATGGATAATCACAGTATACATTACTCTGTTTGGTAACGCTGCATTCAAAACTGCTACATGATAGTTGTCAAAAAATGCCAAATCATGATGGGAAGATATAAGCTTACGTTAGCTCAAGGAATAACAAAGGTTAACCATATAGAATCTAGTCTTGTTAATAAACAAATGAGACTACAGACAATTAGTAACATATCTAACCAAAGGCAAAATTTGCACCCACCAAAACAGAATATCAAACCAACCACATGATACTATGTTCAGACAGGACAAGTTTTTCTTACAAGCTTTAGCCTCACTTTCTCTCGGTCGATTCATAATGCCACGTGGCGAAGCCCTCAATGAGAGCATCTCTCATCCACGGGTATCGACAGCTGTCAGCTGCTTCTGTTACGGTTAGCCATTTTCGGCTTCGTGTGCGTTGCTCAGGCCATGAATCGAACTCTTCCTCCACAGACATGGCAAATATTGCAGCTCGACAACAACCTTCCGGGTTGCATTCATCTTGATGGGTTTTGCTCTTAAACTCGTAGAACCCAACAAATTTCTAAAAAACCAAAAATTATATATATACATATTCGTATCTTTGAGTTAGAAATCAAATAAACTCGTTGAAATTTTTATTCCAGCTTACTTTTATCATATAAGCTAACTTGTCAGCTATAAGTAATAAGTAATAAGCTATAAGCTCGAAAATCACTTATAAGCTATCAGCTAGTTTTACCAAACATAGCCGTAATAGTGATGAAGTCCTAATTGTGTCCTCCGAGGATTTAGCATCTTAATCAATCAAATATTATACTCTTAAAAAATAAAATTAGAAATGACTGACTATATAAATTAGACTTAGATTGTTCGGACACGAACAATGCACAAGTCAAATGAATGTAAATGAATAATGAGATTCTAACCACTATCTTTCCTCGAACGCCTGCTTCTTCAATGGCTTCCCTAAGTGCAGCCTCTTGAACTGTTTCATCATTTTCCCAGCCTCCCTGCTCGAAGATGAAAACACAGTCAAGTACATAACCATTTTTCTTTTCGAGCAGATGTAACTCACAGAAAGGTGACAGATCATGTGATAGCAAGAGAAACAGATAAAAGGAAGAGAAGAAAGAAAAACGTAAATTTACATTAGGTGTTATTTTCACTTGCTCTCTTGTACAATGTCCAACTCAAATCCAAAAGAGTATAATCCACCATATTCATGTCGTGAAAGTTTGCCCCTCCCATTAATCATAGTACTTCAAAACCAATAGTTTACGAAATTGCAACTGATATTGCATTTGATATACATAATCTTCGCACAGGCAAAGGTTTGCTTTTTAGTGTGTCTAAATAAGCGAGTAATTAAATATTGACAGTGGAAAAATTAAATAAACAAATACAGTTCAAATACAGTGAAGGACAGAGAAAACAAGGAATGCCTGATAATGTTGGTAGCTAAGGACAAGGTACAGAAGAAAAAATAAAAACGGCGAATTAGTACCTTTGGGAACAAAAGACCAGAGCCACTTGGTGAATTGATCATGAGCACCTCTAAAATCTTGTTCGAATACTCACTACAGTTTTCTGAGTCCCTATACCTATAAGGAATGCACCTGGCAAACAATTTCCCCATTTAACGTATGATGATGACAACAGATGAGATACTTAGAATAATAATTAGACTGCGTGGAAAACAAAGAATGTTAACTAACTCAAGTACCAAATGGAAACAAAGAATGTTCACAAACAAAAAGCTGAAACAATTATTTCATGATTTTTCTATTAATAACTCAAATTTGCAAAGAACGTGGTATAAAGCAATAAAAGCATTAGGAAAAAAAACAATTAATTATTTCTTGTTTCTTTCATTAGTGGAAATGGATTTATTAATAATAAGACTTTCTTTTATTAATTCAAGAAAAAATTCTGTATAAGCTACATTCAAAGCAAAAAAGGCAGTAAAGCGAAAAGGCAGGAAACATAGCATAAGTAATTTCTGTTTTGATAACCAAGGATCTGAAGAACCGGGAATCAGAGAATAAGACAAGGCAAAAGATGCATCAAGTCTCACAAACCAAGTGCCAACAAATATTTTCGATCTACCTTGCTCAAATCTGTAGTGCTTTCATCAGCGTTCTAAAAAGAGCAGGATTTTCAGAACATTGTTTTCACATTTTATCATTCTCCACAGAATCTAGAAGGAATCAACGACGGACAGCTCGTAAAGTCATGAACTTGCAGTCAAAAATCGAAAATAATCAATCAATCAACTTAAAAAACCGGGTAACCTTACTTAAAAGTGATAATAGTATTTCACATCTAGAGCTCAATGTAGAGCAAATTCTCAAAAGAACACACACAATATACCGAATTACTTAATGCATCAAATTATGAACAGCTAAAACAAAACAACCCCAATATATAACTGGACAAGAATCATTACACTTGCCGCACAATACAACAATTTTTAAGGATTCAAGGATTTTTAAGAACAATACCCCGCAACAAGGCGAAAACCCGAATCATACCGCTGCAGCTGCCTTCCCGTCCTCGCCACCAAATTCTCGCACATAATTCTTTCTACTAATAAAATCTGAAAAATAAAGGCAGCAACTTTACAATAATTCCGGCCCGCGAGCTGCATTTACCAGCGACGAAAGCCGACCATTTCTTGAATTACGGTGGCTGTTCGTCATCTGGGGTAAAACTTAAAATTGTAAGGACGATACGCACAGATAAATGGGGGAAAAAGGAGAAATAATTGATGTGGGCTCAACGGGTAAGCAGAGAAAGGGATTCACGAGGCATGAAAACGAGATAAATGGGCAAGGGACGTGATTCTATACTTATATAATAAGGTGTACCATTTACGAAATTTAGTAAGTTGAAAAGTTAATCCAATAAATTCATTACTATTTTGAACAACATAATATAATATTATATCTATACTAATATAAAAGGAGATTCTATTTACTACATTTACTATCCAAAAAAGTCAACTGCATTAAATGTCATTACTATTTTGGTATTACAATATTTTATTTACTTAATTAATTTATTTATTTGTTTTATTTTAAAAAGGTAAGTATAATAAAAAGATTTTAATAATAAAAAAATCAAATACCAAATAAAAATGTACACTTTGACTTATTTGATTATATTTGGTATTTGATTATACCAAATATACTCCTATTTAGTATATACATTAAATACTTACTAAAGTATTTATTTATTTTATTTGTCAAAGTTAAGTATAGATTTGTTTATATTATCAAATCATAAAAAATATTAAATTCATATTGTAAAAAAAAAATCATATAATTTTATAACAATTCTACTACATTATTTAACAATATTCTTTTTTTATTATATAATAAAATAATAATTAAATATTATATGGTGAACAACAATAAGGAAAACTGTTACGTTCTCTTATATCAAGGGATAAATTTATACGCTAAAATTAAATTTTTATTAGTACAAATGTTTTAGTGAGACAATATATTAATTATTTTACAAGCTAGCTCTAACATGCTCATATTTAATGTTTTAAAAGATGTAGAAAAAAACTTATAATAACTCTATTGTTTTATAAACTTAAACGTTGATTAAAAGAGGTAAAAATTCCTAATTTTTTAGACTTAAACGTTGATTAACATCATAGATTGAGAGTCTATATTTAGTAAAATTCCTATTTGTAATTAAAAAATTAATTTTTGCTATATTTTAGAATATCTTTAAATTCATTATAAAAAAAACGAAAAAAAACTATAATGAAAAAAGCAAGTCAGCTATATATCGATTTGTTGTACTCCTCAAATCACATTCACAATTTGGCTACAAGAAAAGAAAACTCATTAATTAAAATATTATTTTATCAGTAGTCTTAATATACAAGAGACTTTAAGACTCCACTTGAATATTATAAAACTTTTATTGAATATTGTACAATTTTCTTGCCTATTATAAACTCGTATTGAATATTGCATCTTATAATATAACATTTTTCAAATAAACTAGTACATAACCCGTGCGATGCACGGGATGTAAAATTTGGAAGAATAATATAACCTCACGTACATTAGGATCGAAATTGAAATCATTAAAATACATAGGAACATTGTTGAATCATAAAAAGTTCGGTAACAATCATATATTATTAAAAACTTCCTTGTACACAACATTATGAGTTTGATTATTTGGTAACGCCTCATTATCACAAACTAATATTTTCAAAAGAGATAAATCCTAAAAATCAAATTAATATTTTTTGTGAACAAACTAATATTTTAGGACTGGTGAATAAACTAATATTTTAGGATTTTTAGGATTTGTCTCTTTTTTGTGAACAAACTAATATTTTATGATTGGTTATATGAATAAGGTTACCTGTTTTTGGTGTTCTTTTCATTCATTTTCATTCAAACAATCCGATGACTTGTATAATGAAATCCGAATCTTAAGCTGAAATATTTAGAAAAAGAGTTTTTAAAAATTGAAAAGTCAAGGCAATCAGTTCAGATTAATTAAAAGTCAAAGAATATCCGCTCCTTGAAATAAAGACGTGTGCTATCATTAACCAAATATCCGGTTATTGATATAGAGTGGTTACCAAAAATTAGAACGCGAGAAGGACGCTTCATGGAAATATCAATGGGATAAGGTCATAACAGATCGCTAATGATTTATGATAATTATGTCATAATTAATGAATTAATTAGATGTGTGAAAAGGACATAATTAATGAGAAAGTGTGAAAATGACATAATTAATGAGAAGTGTGAAAAGGACAAAAACTTACCGGTTTTGAAAAATATTTAATGAAATCCTACATTGACCATAATTTGACCTACTATTTTGGATAAATGTTAATTCTTATTATATAAGTATAGATTCCTTTTTATCGGTAAAAAATCTATCGAATCTTTTTATTTGTCAACTTTTGAAAACAAAATCGGTAGAATATGCGTAATTATCTTATCACACGTTTTGAATTTTGATAGGAAGTACAATTATCTTATCCTTATTATACGGAGTTTTAAGGAGAAGATTTTACCAAATATCAACTCTTTATGAAGAAATTTTGTTTCCTTATTTTCCTCTCCTTATCGTCTCCTTCTTATAAGGTGGAAATAATGGGATAAGGACTCTTAAGAGGCGTGTGCGGTTGATATCATGATAAATAAATTCTATATAATCTATGACTAATTAACCGTGTGAAAAAGACATAAGGAGAGGATAGTTAAATAGCGTGTGAAAAGGACATTGAAGTTAGCGTGTGAAAAGGACATTGAAGTTGCCATATTTGGAAAATAATAAATGCAAAGTTCACGTTGACCATTGACTCAGCTACTAAATTTGATAAATGTTAAATCATATAATATAAGTATAGATATATCTCGTGCTTCGCACGAGTCACGTACTATATATATCCCGTACATTTTTCTTTATTCATGTATATAATTATAAGCCTAGATAAATAGCCTTAAAATTGTACACCCCGTGCATCGCACGGGCTCTGTACTAGTCTGCAAAAAGGGTCAATGCTTTTTTGTGTTCTGGCTTTTTTTTCGGATTTTTATTTATTTATTTATTTTTACTATTTTTAAAGTGTGTAAAAATTTTGTGTGAGCCGCCGGAAACGGATCGAGGGAGAATCTCCGGTTGGGGAGACCACCTGGAAATACTAATAGTATATTTTTTACTAAAAGATAATTATTATTATTATTATTATTATTAATTATTAAAAGTCCAAATTCAATACTATCTCCATACAAAAAATAAATATGTAACATAGTAAGAGAAGGAATAACATACTTTAACCATAATTCAAACAAAATCATCTTATATGGTTGCATAATAATGTAATTGCATAATATTATTAGTGGGCTGCATTTTGATGATGGTATTAAACACTGCTAAAGTTATATTGTGACAATATTAGCTTACTATTTTTCAAGAACTGAAATTATTCATCAAGTTCCTATTCCTAGTAGGTAAATTATGATATAGTAGGTAGTTTCTAGTGAGTAAAATTCAGGTGCATAATTTTTTAAATGTACTTCTTGTGCTTGTATATTTTTGTACACAAAGAAAATATATTGAGTCTAATATAAGCTCTAACCTCAGTTTATTCTTGTTGTACTAATAAAAAAGTATCAAATCTGAAAAACATATGAAACCTAGGGCAACAAAACTAATTAAGATGTAATTTGGGGTAGCAAATACGAAAAACAGTTAAATTCTAGGTAATAAAAATGATCTTTTTCCCTACAATAAATATCAAATATAAATATGAAATCAATCCATAGTACTTGAAAACAAAATGTTATGTGTTTATAAATGCAAAAATTCTAATGTATTTCTACATTTATGTGTATTATCAAATACCGATATACTATTTATAAATAATTGTGAATTGCTTCATAAGTCGTGACATCTAAAGACTTCATAACAAAACCGTGTGTTTTTAACCAAATGCATCTCGAACAATTCAAGCTAGTTGAAGATGAAAAATGTGGGAACTTGCACAAGTTGAAAACGAAAAGGGAAATAAAGATTCAGGAGAAGTAACTTTAGAACTGTTTTAGCTCTATAATCATAAATCACTTTGGCATACAATGCACCAAGGGTGAGTACTTAATATGTGTTTACATTTTTCCAAATCGACGTTATGTCCTTTCCTGAAGACAAATCGATCGATCGCCAGATAAACCAACTAAGTTNTAGCCCGAGCCTACACATTTAGTTTCCGATTAGCATAAGGAAAAAGAAAATAAAAAATTATCCTTCCTACGCTCCGTCATTCATTCGTACGAGTAGTACTTGAACCTCATCACACTTGGTTCATGACTTCAAAAATCATGTATGTTCTGATGAATCCCAATTAGGAAGGTTTGCAGTAGCTTCATTGATCAATTTTACAAGAGTTGCCTGCAAATGGAAATAATCAAAATTACATTTTNAAAAAAAAAAAAAAAAATTAATGTACAAAATCGAGCCTCACGTACCACACTTTCGGGAGCACCTTGAGGGGGCAAAGTTAGATTTCGAGGTGGTGGGCTGTGTAAGTAATCTCTCTTATCAAACCTCCACTCGCCTTTTTCGTCGATTAATAATTCACCCTATGGCCATCATCACATATTTAAGCTTAAAATCTATGAAGTTATTAACACATTGCCCCAAGTAATCAACATATATGATATATCATCAAAGGAGTGGGAAGAAAAGTTTACTTTTTTCTTACCTCAGAATTGTAGTCACAACCGTACGTATAATGAAGAATGAATTTGCCTTCGGTTTCACTGTCAAATGGAGGCTGATAGTTTATCAGCTTGAGTTAGAAGCTCGATTGAATTTGCTTATTTGATTATTTTTTCCCTAGTCAATTCTTAAGCTACGGTTCGAAAAAATAAAAAATAAAAAAAAAAAACCTGCAGCATGAATTCTTTTCGGAGAATATGTTGCACGCCGTGAAGAGCAGAGGCCACAGCATACGCATACCTTTTATTAACATCAAAACACGGAGAAAAAGGTTAAAAACGAGCACAAAATTCAAATTACACAAAAACTTTTGTCACATAAGCGTACATTTCGAGCACCCAACCAAACTTCTCATCAGTCTCCTTATCGTTTTTCATATTCAGCGAAACATTCATCCAAGTTGTAAAAAAAAAATTCCTTTATGAAGGCATGAAATCATGAAAAACAACTTCATTGGTTTAACTTTAAACTTTAAACCTACCTTCTTGATTATAACAGGAGAATTACCAATAGGATCCACATTTGTTATGGGGCCCATCTTCTTGGGGAAGAACTTCCTCACGATTTTCGCATACTTAACCGGTTTCATGTAGAAAAACGAGTAAGCCGCAGGATATTCTTCGTACACCAAATTTGGCAACGGTTGCAAAAATATGTGATCGGGTTCTGCCATCAATACATATCTACAGCAAGAATTAAAAAAAAAAAATGAGAAAAGCGAACTTTTTCGGAACATAGAAAAACCACACTAATAGCATATTGAACTCACTCTTCTTTAATTTCGGCCTTCTTCAGCCACTGCACGAAAGCCCACGGTCTGTTCAAGACGACGTAACCCTGAATTTAGTAGCTTTTCGAATTACTTTTCTCACAAAAGCAACTCTAATTATTTCGAGATAACAAATTGTCGATTAGGAAAACAAAAATCATATACTTGCAGCTAAAGATACTTTATATCGACAAAAAGCCAAACGATTTTCATTCAAATCTCACCTTATCCATACCTTCGGGAAGAGGATCGACTACAAATGTGGGAATCTCATCCATCAAATCATCCGAAACTCCCGAATGAAGAATTCGAGTGAGCCCACCCATTTCAGAACCAGGCAAATCCTTTTTCTTCTTAAACCAATAGTACATAATACGGCATTGCCATTTGCTGTATGCAGAGTCTTCACCTGTAACAGCAATGTGGAAAAACGACTTCCCGATTCTTGTTTTTCGCTCGTTAAACGGCATTGGTGTCACGGGCTCGATTTTGACGGGCCCCACTCTTCTGTGGTGAAGGTATACAGTAGAAAGGTTGTAGAAAGCTCCGAAAACCAAGAGCACGACAAAAATGAGTAAGACTTGTCGACCCATGCTCGTGTTTCGGTTCGAACAAAGTTACGGCCAAAAGTTGAGGCCAAAAATCAATTATCTGCAGAAAGGAAACAATAACAATTTTTTTTACAAAAAAAAAGGAAGCAAAGAAGAAGACAACTGGAAAAGAATGGTATTGAATTTGTGTTTGCTTTTATAGAAAAAACAGATCAGCAGGGATTTGTTATGGGCACCACCAAAATTTCTATATCAAATCAAGCACTGAACCAATCATATGCAGACAGTATAATTGAATTTGTTATTGCATTGATAGTGTGTGTGATATATAAACTAACATAAAGTGAAAAGGATTTAGGTTTTATGGGGAACCTAGGAAAAGGAAATTCAAAATCTTGATTCATGTAATACAACATTAAAATTCAAGAAATCTTGAATTATCAACATTTGCAAATCTGATTTTGTCATCTCTTTGATTCAGGTAATCACCATAAATCAATGAAATATTGTATTAAGATCTCAGTGACTTTTCAACCAAATACTCACTGTGTATGATATGGTATTCTCTGAACACAACACTTAATGGTTATATTAAAACTTGTCAAACATATTAATATTAATAGTCCAAAATTAACATTCTTGAACAAAATGCTACTATTCAATCTTGTTCAAACATAACATGATTTTTTTTTTTAACAGAGTAATTAAAATTTAAAACCCAAATGTTGAGTGAAAAAAATAAAAGCAAAAAGAATAAAAATTAAGACAGAAAAATACAGTAGAAAACATATCTGACGTGCAAGCACAAAATAATGTCATGTATAATCAAGACAAAATTAGGAGAGCTGATAATGAAACCTCAAATTTTTGGTCTTCAATGGCGGCGTGCAAAAAGTTGATCCAATCACAGAAGATAATGTGTGTGTAATAAAAAGATACAAATCTGTTAGTATTTAGTTCTATGTACGAATATTCCAAGAGAAAATAATTACTTGCCTTTTTGTGTATTCAATATTTATTTTAATTGAGACTTTAAAATGGCAGTAATTCGCGTTTTCTTTTCTTTCTTTTGGAAACAAACAAATAAAACGTTTTTTTTTCTAATACAACTTCGAATTTTTTAATACAAATAGGTATGCTAAAATATTCGATAATAATATTTGAATATTCATTTATTATATTTTTTCTTTAACTTATAATGCTTAGCAAATATAATTATAAACATATATTTACAATATATAATTTAATTTAACAAATTATATTTATTATTGATTTTATATATGTATTAGTTTATTNGAAAACGCGAATTACTGCCATTTTTAAGAATTAGTACTTTCAGCTCATGTTTTCGTGGAGTAGCAGTTGTTGTATATTGCATTTCGAATGCGCAGAGGTTCTAACTCAAAGGGGACTTTTTATTAATAGCTGTTTCGATTTTATTTAAGGGAAGATAGTTCTTTTGTTTATGGTCTGAGTTGTGGAGCCTTGAGCTCTTTTGGTTAATCCCTTTTGGGGAAATATTTTAGTTTCTGCTCATGGTTCTTTCAGTAAAGATTCTAACTGCTGATAGTACTAAATTGGTAAATTACGTTATTTGGGTTTGGAATTCTGTATAATTTGCTGTGGGATTGAGTTATGTTTGATTGACATTTTCGTTTGCTTGAAGCTTTCATGTAGAAACAAGATAATTGTTGTATGGATAAGTAAAGATAATAAAAAAGGCTAAACGAACTCAATGGAACAAATCCCATTTAGACGTCACTTAATCAGTTTTGATGGTTAGATGGCCATTCTGTTCAAGTTCTTGACGAGCTTCCCATATTTTCTCTGTTTCAATTATTACAGTTGGATTTAAATGGAGAAAGATAGGAAAAGAGGAGATTATGGCTGCATATCCTTGGAACTTGCAGAGTTGTAGTGAACAGCCAGAACTTATTCATGGCTATTGAATTATAAATGGAAGATTATGATAAACAGATAACCAAAGTTAAGGAAAGAACAGAAAATGTTACTGGTAGCAGATTAAGTTTTATGAATATTCAGTCATCTTACAAAAAAATATGAACTAGATGATGAGTCCAGTTAAGGTTTAGTGTCTTTTGTTACCAAAAGTTCCAGATATATTACACCGCTCATTTGAGAGATATCTGAAATAGTCTTGTTCACTTTGGTAGCAGCTTTATTCTCTTCTCTTATTCATCTTTGCTTCCAAAGACATGGAAAATCATAAATTTGATTTTGGTGTAATTGGAATACCATATCTTCAGCACATTGAAGATGTATTGTTCAAGATCTATAGATAAGCCTCGAGAGCTTCATTGTAACGGGAACTTTTCGATCTCTATACTTTTGAGCATTACAAATATTTTTTCAGAGCAGTTTTCCAATCTTTAAAGGCTTTGTCTATTCTTCAAGTTCATTTGTGTGATTACTATGATCTTCACTTTGTAAATTACGAAAACTCTTCAAAACAGAATGTTACAGACGAAACATTTAATTTATTTGACACTGAAATTTACTTATATTAATAATAACTCTTAAAACCTCAAATGAATACACCTTACTTTTTAGTTCTAAGTAACATATACTTTTTACTCTCTTTTTAGAAGCATTTTTCTCCATCAAAGATCTTGTTTGTAATGTCTCACTCACTTCTCATTATCCCCAATGTCTTAAGAGATTGACATGAAATTAACATACGAGATGTTTCAGGTGTGTTTGTAAATGAAATAATTTGAGTGAATTGATTCAAAGTGAGTTTTTTTTAGTTAATTAGGGTTAATTTATAAAAAATAATATAGTTAGTTGTTAGTGGGATTTTGAGTTTATATTAAAATAATATTTAAAATAAAATAATTAAAATTGATTTGATGTAAAAGTAGAAGAGAGATTATATGAAGTAATAGTTAGTTAAAATTAGGTGAGTGGATGAATAGTGAATTAAAATTGATATGATGTGTAAAAATGATTGATTGTTATTATTTAATGAATGGTTGTTATTATTTAATTATATTAATAATATTAAAAACAGTGAGATTGAGTTAAAGTTAAATTAGATTTTGAATATGAATCAATTTAAAATGGATAAATCATTTTACAGATATAGCTTTCAGTTCTTGTTCTGAGTTGTTTGTGATTCCAAATACATCATGATTGTGAATGGGGCTACTTACATTGAGTGTCTTGTCTCCTATATAGGACAAGTGTCAACTTTTCCCATCAGAATGTATTTTGTCTCCTCCGTGGGGTCCACGTCGTTGGGGTATCCCACATCGGCCCATAAAAATACAAGGCCAGCACGAAGGCTCCCCCAACCGCGTTATTCAACTTTTAGTATACAAATCCACCCAACTTTGTGGATTAATTTGATTTGTCAATATTTAAAATATTCTATGTTGGTATTACTCATTGAAGGTGTGTTTGTACGTGAAAAAACTCAATTCATGCTCAAAATTTAATTTAATTCTAATCTAATTTTATTATTTTTAATATTATTAATATAATTAAATAATATTAATCAATCATTCTTACACATCACATCAGTTTTAATTCAATGTTCATCCTCTCACATAATTTTAATTAAATATCACTTCATATCATCTCTCTTTTACTTTTACATCAAATCAATTTCAATTATTTTATTTTAAATATTATTTTAATATAAAATTAAAATTCTACTAACAACTAAACATATTATCTTTTTCAAAATTAACTTTGCTTAACCAAAAAAACTCTTTTTGAGCGAATTTATTTGTATATAAACACGCTCTAAATACCGGTAGTTCTGTCCGATAACTCTATAATTATAATTTTTACATAAATTATTTGCTCACATATCCGTTTCTTTTAAGTATTTTAATCAATTTGTTTTACTTAATTTGAAAGTTTCACACGTAATTTTAATACATCTACGCTCTTATTTGATTCTTAATTAATTTAGTAAATTTAATATTTAGTAAATCGGTCGAACTTTTCAATTGCATATTCAATATTTAAAGTACAAATGTATGTGTGGAACTTTTATCATTGTATCACACATATAACACACGTTCATGTGAGTAAAAAGTTCATCATTGTAGGATTGAATTTAGTGGCCACACGGAGTATGATCCAATTTATCTTAATTTTAAATTTTGATTATGATCGTTTAGTGTGTACTCAATTTCTTTAAAAAGTGCAAAAAATGTGTTGTACATCACAACTTATAGTGTTTTTCTTTTTGGTAAAATATAACATGAATTTCTTAAATAATTATAATTGCTAACTCCTCGTACATCTTGATTATACATGTGTGTATTTAGCGACGATTATATGGTGAAGATGCATCAAACTTACAGATGCTGAGTATTTAAAAAGTTAATGTTGCATTTTAGTAAGAAAAATATTATGGGCCGTAAAATTCAAAAATATGTATAGTAGTCGTTGTAAAAAATATTTTACCCTTATTATAATGTACAAAATAATAAGGAAAAATATGAACTATAAGTTTAAATCCAATGGCAATCTTGTCTGGGAGAAATAGATTACTAATATCTCCAATTATTCTACCCAAATCATAAATTTTGGTTTTAGATCGAGTATAAGGATTAAAATTGTCCTTTACTCTCTTTTTTTCTCATACAAAAATAATACTAGTGTGTCCCGTATATATTAGGAAATATAGTCTTATCCCCTTGGTGTTTTTTTTTCTTTCTCTTTTTTTTNGATTTTTAAGTTTGAGTAATATTTTGAATTTGTATTTGTTAGTTTTTGATTAATTGTTTGTCCCACATCAAATGTATACCAAAGATGTGTAGGATCTTATTAGTATAAATAGGTCCATTGCCTTTGGGTTACAATTGCACCTTATTCTATTCCCTCCGCTCTTAGAAGGAAATCATTGATTAAGAAAATCCTAATTTGTGGGTTATTTAACCCTAGTTGTATTTTGTTGGTGAGTTTAGTAAATTTGGCGTTGCGATTGGCGGTGCCTAGAGAGTTAGGTTATTTTCGCCGAACTCCGTTATCTATTTTTGTGTCCTTTTTATTTTCCGTCTTTTATTTATTTGCGTTGACTTATTTTCGTTTGGAGTAGTGCTTGCCATATTTGTTGGAGGGGTATTTTTGTCCGCTGCGTTTAGTGTTCTACCCCAACAGTATTAAAATAATATTTAAAATATAATGATTAAGGTTTATTTGATTATAAGTATGAGAACTGATTGAAAGTGATATGTGGGTGGATGAACATTGAATTAAAATTGACCATGTGCGAAGATGTTTGATTGGTATTATTTAATAGTATTGATAATGTTGAGAAATGTTGAATTGAACTAAAATTGAGTTAGATTTTGAATTAAAAAATTAATAACAAAATAATTTTTTACCAAACGATGCCTTTAATCGTGCATGCACAATCAATTATAGAAAAAGTTGCTAATTCGAATTATAATATTCGGCATGATGCAGGATTATGGGTCATCCCAATGCTATAAGTTACATGATGAAGAATACTTTAATTTATAAATCGTATTTTATTACTTTAGACGTGGGAAGGTAGCTAATAAACAGACCATGATTAATAGGTCATTTGATTGCTTCATAAGTTACATAATGATGAATACTTTAATTTATAAATCGTATTTTATTAGTTTAGACGTGGGAAGGTAACTAAAAAACAGATCATGTTTAAGGTGGGTTTGTTTATAACTTTATCCAATTTATATTTAATATATATTCAAAATTTAACTCAACTTTAACTTAATTTCAATATCTTTAATATTATTAATATAATTAAATAGTACCAAACAATCATTCTTATACATCACATCAATTTTAATTCGCTATTCATCCAGTCACATAATTTCAACTAACCATCACTTCACATCATTTCTCATACATTTTCATCAAATTAATTTTAATTATTTTATTTTAAATACTATTTTAATATAAATTCAAAATTCCACTAACAACTGATCATACCAACTTTTTCAAAATTAATTTTAATTAACTGTAAAAACTTATTTTGAACTAATCATAGGTAAAGAAAACTTAGTTATTAACTAAAACTAATCATAGTGGAGGATAAATGGTTTGATTTGATTAGATATTACTGTTTGATAAATAACTAATTATTAATACGTAAAGAAAACTAATTTTATAATTATCTATTCCATAAAACTCTTATATTGAGTCTTTTAAAATTAGTTTTTATTTTTGTAATTCAAAAAGTTATTTCAAACTGTTACTTTAACTACATATTTTAATTAAAACTTCGGACGGGTCAAACCTCATACTCACCTTAAACCTCTTATTTAGTACAAAAGGTGCAAGCAAAACGATATCTTAAATTATGTTGTGAGGTTGCTCCATTATACTTTTCTAATGAAAATGCATACTTATTCCGTGAAATGACATACTTTTGTTTATGTTGATTTTTAAAATATTATTTGAGTATGCATATTTATTAAATATGAGTATTTACTTATGCTATAGCCTTACTAAACTTACATTATTTGCCAACAAAATAAATTTATCAAGGACAAATTTAATAGTAAGTGATAAAACTTTTCTCTATGGGCAAAAATTCTCCAAATCTAAAACTTCCAAAACCCTTATTGTTCTTGCATCCTCACCGCCGCGTGCTCCGCTCCACCGCGCAGTTGACCGAGGCGGACAGTGCACTTTTCGTCTTGTCTTCGATCCCTTTCCGGTCTGGCGCTTCACCCGACTTTGGGTGGCTATAGCATGAGATTTGGAGGGGTTTTCCGATGACTAGAGGCGAAGACCTTGTTGTTGGTGTCGTTCGCTTCTTTTGTGGCGGTCAGGGCTGAGCCTTTATTTCTCATAAATCCTGTCTGTATCCCTGGTGTTGGGAAGGAGGATTCCTCTGGGGATTTTTTCTTCTCCGGCTGAATTTGGCCGGAATCGCTGGTTTTGTGTTGGGGGAGGTGATAGGAGCTGGCCTCCAGGAGTCTAGGTGTTGTTCTAGTGGTGATCCCTTTGGAAGGGGGATCTGGTTCGTGTGGTTGCAGATCTAGTTAGCCATGGCAGTGTCCTACAGAATTTGGAGTTTCTAGATCTGCGACTTGGGCCGTGATCTTGTCTTTCTTGGGGTGATCATCTTTGGGCGTTGGCTCGTGTGGTGGCGGTTTTAGAATAGCTTGACGATTGTTGTGAGGACTTTATTATAGTATCTTGTTATTAGGGTCTTTTCTTGTAGAGTGAGTTCTACGTGTGTTTGTATTCTTCACTAGTTGGACTATTGTAGTTTTATTCTCTTTTTTGGGAGTTTGTATTCTTCACTAGTTGGACTATTGTAGTAATGTGGGTGCGTTTATGTTAGTGTTTTCGGATCTAGGCTACCTTCATTTAACTCACTAGTTTCATTTGCATAGCTAATTCGACTGTTACTAGTTGTTCTCTAAATTTTAAATATGTGTGATATTTATAACGTCTATTAAAAAAAAAAAAGGACAAATGAGTTTGGTAAAGTTCTGAATCNAAAATTAAAAAAAAAAAAAATAGTTATCTGAAAAAGAGAGAGAAAAGAAAAGGGCTGTCAATTGTGTATACTCATAGGTTTGTTCCTCTCTTTTGCTTTTCCTGTCAATCAAGAAGCTTCATGTTTTAATACTCCTCTTTTGACATTCCCAATTTCAGAAAAAGATATCCATAGAGGCCTAGACAGACAGACAACCATTTTCAAGAAAAACAAACATAAAAAAAGGAAAAAGAAAAAAAAGGGGTTCTTGTGTTTTCTTTTCCTTGTCTTTGATTGTTGATTATACATTCCTTTACAAGTTGCATTTTTTTCCCAAGAATATCAAACAAGCTTCCATTTCCCAAAAAATCCCTTGAAAAGTGATTAAACAACTTTGTGTAAAAAGAGGTGAAATTAAAGCACATACGCAGGAAAAAAGCTAAGGGCATTGCATCAATCATTCAATTCTCAAGGTTCTTGTGGCTTTGTTTGTTCTCCCATCGCTGTTTGATAATCCGGGCTTGTCTTAAAACATGTCTTTTCGATTCCTGTCCGAACCGGCATTCCTGATGCTCCGAAAAATAGATCTGGGCTGACAAAATTAAGGCCAAAGTTCCCATCTTTATATCACCAAAAAAAAAACAAAATAAAAATAAAAATAATCCAGTCTTTGAAGGAGATAATGAGCACAGAGCTCAGCGGCATCGCCACAAAGGTGAAAATTAAACCACAGCCCGCCACCGCCGCAGCCCCCAAAAAGAGGGCCAACGGCATATTCACAACAATGCCCGTTGCCCACGTGGACGACGACGAGGAAGACGCCGACAACAACCACCACCCCACCAGCGCCGGCGGCCCCCACCGCGTGGAGAAGGCTTTCCCCGACGGCTCCCTCTACACCGGCCACTGGTCCGGCGACCGCCCCCACGGCCACGGCAAGTGCCTCTGGCCCGACGGCTGCATGTACGAGGGCGACTGGGCCGGCGGCCGGCCCGCGGGCCGCGGCCGCTTCAGCTGGCCCTCCGGCGCCACCTACGAGGGCCGTTTCAGATCCGGCCACATGGACGGCGAGGGCTCCTACACAGGCTCCTCCGGCGACGCCTACCGTGGCCAGTGGTCCGGCGACGAGCGCCACGGCCGCGGGGCCCGCTCCTACAACAACGGCGACCACTATGAGGGCCAGTGGCGGCGGGCCCACCCCCACGGACGTGGCAGGTACACGTGGCACAACGGGAATCAATACATCGGACAATGGAAACAGGGGAGAATGCACGGGACTGGCACCATGATATGGGCCAACGGTAATCAATACGACGGGAGCTGGCTCGACGGGCTGCCACGTGGCAACGGAACTTTCCGGTGGGCCGACGGAAGCTTCTACGTGGGCTTCTGGAGCGAAGAACCAAGAGAGATGAGCGGGACTTACTACCCGTCCAGCTCGTCACAGGCTGTCGGGGGAAGCTTCGAGTGGGACCCGCGTGAGGTTTATTATCTGGTGAGCTTGAGCGACTGTCGGGTGGCCAGGGGGGAGAAAATACCGATTTTGCCCTCGGAGAAGGACATGAACTGGCCGTGCGAGGATGGTTGTGGGGTTGTTGTGAGGGGCGGGTCGTCGGGTAATTGGGGCGGGTGTAGTTTGGGTTCGGAGTCGGATTTGAGTTTGGAGGGAGGGAGTAAAGGGTCTGGAAGAGAGGGAAATGGTGAAGGAATCGAGGATTATTCGAGTGTGGGGTCGAGAGGATTTAGTAGTAATAAGAGGCCTCCTCCTCCTCCGAGGATGATAATTAAACCGGCAAGGAGGTCCGGGCACACGATTTCTAAAGGGCACAAGACTTACGAGCTTATGCTGAATTTGCAGCTTGGGATAAGGTAAAGTCGAGCGAAAAGAAAAAAAAAAAATCAATTTTTTAAGGTTGCAAGAACAATGTCACTGCTTTTGATCTCCATTCTGTTTTTTAGATGGGTTGTTGTTAGTGTTTTTTTCAAAGGATGATTTGTTGTGAATCTTGTGATCATTACGAGTTTTATGCTGAATTTCGAAGTTA